CCCCGAGCCTGGCTGCCCCCGAGCCTCTGGCCCACCCCGAGCCTGGCTGCCCCCGAGCCTGGCTGCCCCGAGCCCCTGGCCCCCGCTCCTTCGCGAGGGCGGCTGGGCCGCGCTGTGCGCCCTTCCCGTCAGTCCCCGTGGGGAGCGGCCTGGGAGCCGCGGGATGTGTCCCACCGCGGGCAGGCTCCGCTGGCCACAGCGACACACAGATGGCGGCCGGGCCGCGGATGTTCCCCGGTGGGGCGGTCACAGTAAGGGTGTTCCTCGCACGTCACGTGGGGCGTGAAAACGGCCGCGTCTGCCGGCCCCGTCGGCTTCCCGAGGCCTCGGCGGACAGGTAGGTCCCAGAGGTTCCCAGTCCGGGCCGCGCGGGGGGAGGGCGGGGGCCGCTCACATGCTAATGCGGCGGTGACAATCGCGCCGGGCGCCTCCGCGCCTGGGGAGGCCGAGGCGGGAACAAAGCGTCAGCGTCTTCTGCATGTGAAAGGGCCGCATTCCAGGGCGGGCGGCGCGGCCCTCCCCGTTCACACCGGGACCACACAGAGCGCCTCTCGCGCCAAATGCGGGAAGGTTCGGTTCAGGCTTTTCTTTTGACCCAGGGCGATGCATACGAAATGTAGATATTTCCCTAAACGCCGGGCTTTGACATTTAATGCGTTCCTAAGTAGTCTGAAATGTGGACGGGATTAGGAGGAGGCTAGGGGCCCACCGGGACACTCGGGCAAATCCCCCTAAATCCTCCAAGACAATTGTGTGTCACCACACGGATTCGCTTTGCCCCAAATGAGGGCGCTAATGAACTTCATGGCCTCCTCCCGTGGCAGCCCACTCGCACCGGGCCCCAGCCTCTGCGCCCCTCTCCGGCTGTGTGGCAGGGCGTGTTTACTTTCGGCTGGGCCAGCCGGCTTCTAGGATCCAGGCTGACCAATATGACCCGCACCTATCCTGGGGACCTCACTGCTCAACCCTCACTCCACAAAGCCTTGAGGGTCACCCTGGGATGATGTTATAAATCATCCCATCTCAGGCCCCTTGCAACACTGTCGGGCCCAGAAAGAAAAATATGGTGATTTTGTCTTATATGTATCAGTGTTTTGCTAGCACATGTTATGTGCCCACAGAGGCCAGAAGAGGGAGTAGGATCCGTGGAACTGGAGCTATAGATGGTTTTGAGCCACCATGTGGGTTCTGGGAATCAAATCCGGGTCCTCTGTGTCAACAGCCTCTAAGTCACTGAGCCATACCTAGAGAAGCCCTCCCCAGCCTTCTTTCTTTCCTTTTATTTTCCACAGGGCTCATTATGACTCCCTGGCTGGTATGGAACTTGCTTTGTTGAACAGGGTGGCTTCAATCTCACATATTCTCTTTTTTTCTTTTTTTTCGAGACAGGGCTGAGCTTCAAACTCAGATCCATCTGTCTCTGCCTGCCGGAGTGCTGAGATCACAGGTGTGTACACCATTGTACACTCATATTTATGGTTTGTGCCCCACATGTAGCACATTTTTTGTTTTGCTGAGATAGGGTTTCTCAGTGTAACCCTGGCTGTCCTGGAACGAACGCTGTAGACCAGGCTGGCCTTGAACTCAAGAGATCCACCCCTCTGGAGCGCTGGGAGGCAGAGGCAGGTAGATCTGTGAGTTTGAGGCTAGTCTGATCTACACAGCAGGACAGCAAGTTCAGGAGAGCAGGAATACCACACTGTTAGGATTTATGCAGCAGGGGGACCAGGCAGGTCCAGGCCAGCAACAGCAGCATGCAACAGGCTCATACAACAGATTCATTGAGGAGGAGGGCAAAAGGCTATGGCAGATGGAGACAGAGCAAGCATGAGCTGTGAGGGATGGCCAGGACCTTTCAAGGGCTCGTGTTGGTGATGACAGAGCTCTGCTGATGAGGCCAAGCTGATGAAGGAAGGCTGGGAAGCACCTGATTTTTAAAAATTACAACCACACATCCCTCAAAAAAAAAAAAAAAAAAAAAAAAAAAAGGCTGGGGTTCGATTCCCAATACCACGAAAACAAAACAAAACGTGTGTAGATTTGTGGAGTCCCAATAGCTCAACAGAAAATTCCTACCAGTCCTGGGTGCCCTCAGGAGCACCTGGAAAGGAAGAGGCTTCTTTGGGGATATAGAGGGCAAAGAGCACTAAAAACCTCAACTGTTAAAGGGTAAGGGGCAGTTCTAGGCAGCTGAGCAGCCCAAGGCATCAATCTCCCTGAAAGGTGGGAAATGGAAATTCATTCTGGGGAGAAGGCATGAACACTGTGGAGGAAGAGAAGAGGGAGGCTGAAGCTGGACACGGCAACCTCAGCACTCCGGAGGTGGACGCCCGAGGGCTATAGCTCAGTGGTAGAGTGTCATCCTGGAAGGTGCAAGAGGCCAGGTTCAACCCTCACTACTGTGGTAGCTTGCACAAGAATGCCTCTTATAATCGACTCATATAATTGAATGTTTGGTCATCAGGGAGTGACACTACTTGAGAGGGCTTGGGAGGTGTGGCCTTATTGAAGGAAGTGTGTCACTGGGGTTGGCCTTTGAACATTCAAGGGCCTAAGCCACGCCCAGCTGTCTCTCTCTGCACGTGGATCAGGACGCAGCTCTCTTGGCCACTTTTCTAGCCCCACTCCTGCCTACCACCACGCTCCCCTCAATACAGAAAATGGATTAGGCCTCAGAAACTGTAAGCCAGCCTTTATAAGAGTTGCTGTGGTCATGGTGACCCGTCACAGCAATAGAGCACTGACTAAGGCGCCACCACAAAAGAACTAAGTAAATAAAGTTTTAGTTGTTCTGACACCAGCCTAGTCTGGTGTCATGAAACCCCTATTTATGAGTATACAATATATATTATTATCTTATATATCATATTAAATATTTTATAAGCTGAAGAGATGGTTCAGGGGTTGACTCCTGCTCTTACAGAAGACCAGAGTTGGTTCCCAGCACTCACGTGTGGTGGTTTACAACTGTCTTTAACTCCAGCTCCAAGGGACTCGATGCTGTCTCTGGTCTCCTTGGACACCTGTAAACACATGCACGCACACAAAAGAACAGTAACAACAGGCAGGTCCAGCAGAGTTGACACACAGAGCGCAGAGCCACAGCATTGCTGCCAGGCAGCAGAGCGTAGCACACAGCTGAGAACCTGGCTCCAGGTCAAGCCTGTCCCAGGGAGAATCCAGGTTTGTTTTTTTTTTTTTAAGATTTTTTATTGCTTTTCCCCTGCCACCGTCGTCGAGTTGCGCAGAGGCGGAAGCTCGGGTGCGTTCAAATTCGGCCTCACCCGTAACCCACTGCCACGGCCGAGGAAGGCATTGCTGCTGGCGGTGTAATGGACATCAATACTGCTCTACAAGAGGCACTGAAGACCGCCCTCATCCACGATGGCCTAGCACGTGGCATACACGAAGCTGCCAAAGCCTTAGACAAACGCCAGGCCCATCTTTGTGTGCTTGCATCCAGCTGTGAGGAGCCCATGTCCGTCAAGCTGGTGGAGGCGCTCTGTGCTGAGCCCCAGATCAACCTGATGAAGGTTGACGACAAGAAACTAGGGGAATGGGTAGGCCTCTGTAAAATCCATCGAGAGGGGAAACCACAGAAAGTGGTTGGTTGCAGTTGTGTAGTGGTTAAGGATTATGGCAAAGAATCTCAGGCCAAGGATGTCATCGAGGAATACTTCAAATACAAGAAATGAATTAAATAAAATTTTTGGCTCATTAAAAAAAAAATATTTATTTGCTTATTTTATATATTTGAATGTTCTATATGCATGTACACCTACACGGTAGAAGAGGGCATCAGATCCCCACATAGATTGTTGTGAGCCACCATGTGGTTGCTGGGACTTGAACTCATGACCTCTGGAAGAGCAGACAATGGTCTTAACCTCTGAGCCATCTCTCCAGCCCGAGAATCAAGATCTTAAATCAAAAACTGACCCAAGGGTCCGTGACATCATCACTAGCTTTTGTTCCTGGTGGCTCGAAGAACAAGGGTACAGAGAGAACTGTGCAAAGGGTGACGTCAGCTGGATGGGGCATACAGGCAGTAGAGAGTAAATGGGATCATCTGTGGGCCAGACTTCTCCTGTACTATAATACAATTGTATTTTAATTATTTTCATTAATATATTAAAATTTTTACACTTATAGCCGGCGTACACCTGTAATCCCAGCCTTCAGAGGCAGAGGCAGGTGGAGCTCTGTGATTTCAAGAACAGCCTGGTTACAAAACAAGTCCAAGACACAGGGAAACCCTGTCTTGAAAAAAACATTTTTTTTTTTTTTTTTTTTTTTTACACTCATTTGTGTTTTATGCTTACACCACAGCACAGGTATGGAGGCCATAGAAAAATCTGGTTCTCTCCTTCCACCACATAGGACCTCAGGACAAATCTTGGGCCATCTAGCTTGTTGGTACACTGAACCATTTCATCTGCCTTTTTAAAGAGATATAGCCCAGGCTGGCCTTAACCTCTCTCCCCAACCCTGGCTGGCTCTGAATTTCTTAGCCTCTGGTGTTCCTATCCCAAACGCTGGGATTACAGGCACACCCCATCACAGCATGTTTCTGAGGCACTGGGGATGTTATCCAGGGTTACCCACATGCTGGGCCTCCACCAGGCGAGCCACAAAACTACTCAACCACCAGAATTTAGTCCTCACACCGGGACTAACAGAAGATCCTTGCTCTTTACAAATAGGCTTGGAAAGCCGGGCATGATGGCAGACATCATCTCTAGATATAGACAAATGTGGAATCTCAGCATTTGGAGGCCGAGGCACAGTGGTATGGGGTGCCCAGAGTTTAAGGCCCGCCCGGAGTTCACAGTGAGACCTGCCTCAAAAACATGGGGCTGGAGAGCTGCCTCATTGCTTAAGAACATTGTTTGAGCACAGCACTGTGGCACTAGCACTTGGGAGGTAGAGACCAGTGAATCTCTGTGAGTTCAAGGCCAGCCTGATTTATACAGTGAGACCCTGTCTCAAACAAACAAGAACACTGCTCCTGCAGAGGACCCAGGTTCAGTTTCTAGTACATATATGTGGTGGTTCACAACCGCCTGTAAGTTAAATAAACTCCAGAAAAAAAACACTTAGCTATGGACAGCCAGAGTTCAGTTCAGTCTTCAGTTCACAACCTTCTATAACTGGGGTGTCAGAGGCCCCCTTCTGGCCGCTACAGATACCTGCAAACTCTCACACTCTCTCTCTCCTACCTGGACTGTTTGGTACCAGAAGACCCATTCAGACAAAGCTCTAGACAACCCTTATCCATTGGTCTCGAAGGACCTGAGAAGCCAGCAGCAGGCATGGCTCCGGTGATTTGCGTGAGAATAGCCCTCTCAGACCCAGGTGGAACTGCTTGGGAAGGACTGGGTGTGGCCTTGTTGGAGCAGCTGTCACTGAGGCCATGAGGTTCCGGCTCTCTGCCTTGTGCTTGCAGATTAAGGTGTGGGCTCTCAGCTACTGCCCCTGCACCACGTCCCCTGCCATGGTGATCACACCCTCTAACCCTCGGAAACTGTCAGCCCTAATATGCTGCCAAAATACCTCAGACAGCTGGTAGACACACCTCCCATGACACGGTAGTCTGCCCGTCAGGGAACTGAAGAGAGGGAAGCCATCAAGGGGCACTCCTAAATAAAAACACCCGCCCAGCACCTTGTCAACAGTGGGTCAACTCCTTTTTCTAAGGGCATCTACATTATTTTCCTACTTAAAGTTAGCGTGTGGCCTATCAACAGTTCTCAGAATGGCGATCTCACAACACACTTGTTATTCTGTGAAAAAGCTTTTAGACTTGAATTCTTGTTTGCATTTTGAACGTTGTATATGGCCAAGATAGACCTTGCACTCCTATTCCTACTGCTTTCCACCTCCTATGTGCTGGGATCAGAGACATGCACCACCACACCAAATTTATTTAGCAGAGGATAAAATCAGGGCTTTGTCTATGCTGGCAAACACCTACCAAAGGTGCTGCCATGGTCCTGACGCCTGCTAAGGGTCCTAACAGTTGTCATGAACCTTATCTGTCTGAAGCAGACCAGATTAAAGCTGTATCTGCCAGAAGTTTTGTTTCCTTTATTTCACTATTTAATTTATGTTTTGTTTGTTTGTCTGAGATATTGTGTCAGCCTTTGAAATATTGTGGCTGGCCTGGAACTCATTACGTAGAACAAGTTGGCCGAACTCATAAAAATTGACTTGCCTATGCCTTTCAGCTGCTTAGATTAAAGGCAGGATACAGCATGCCCAGCTGCCCAGCTGTTAATCTGTCTGTCTACCCACCTGTGTAAGCATGCCCAGCTGCCCAGCTGTTTAT